TTGCTTACTCGAGGCACCATCATTGAAGGCTCCACAGCTCCGGCCGGGATGCCAAATCATGCCTTTCGCCTGCGAGAGAAGGTTCCTCCTCAGCGGAATGGGCCACGGGGCTGCTGCTGAGAGCTGCACTAGCTCTGGGAACCAGGCCTGGTTCCTCCAGAGCGGGGCCACTAGGAGGACCCACCTGACGACCTGAGGAATCAGGGCGACTGGGGGAAACGTGTATAGGCGAGCACTGGGCCAGTCATGGGCCAGAGCATCTCGCTGTATCGAGAGGTATGTTGGGCAGTGAGAGTTGTCTTCTGAGGCAAAGAGGTCAACCTCTGCCCTCCCGAAGACTGACCAGATCTCTTGAACCATTTGAGGGTGTAGCGCCCATTCGCCCAGGGTTCAATCTGCCCGGCACATGAACTGCCCTTAATGAGAGGAGTTCTTTCTGTGCCCAAAAAAGGAGGCGACAAGCCATCCTGTAAAGAGTGTGTGACCTGAGACCACCTTGGTGATTGATGTAAGCCACCACCGTCATGCTGTCCGACCGGACCAAGACGTGGTGCCCTTTTAAAGCTGGAAGTAGTGTTAATTCCGTTGACGAAGACTATGACGAAAAATTTTAGTTGACGAGCTTTTTTCCCATGACTAATACGAGACAAAGATGAGACGACAATAAGGTCAATAAACGATAACTAAGACTATATCAACATGCAATTTCGTTGACGAAATAAGACGAGACTAAAATGTATTCAAAAAGATAAAAACTTTACCAAAAACCTCTTTTTATTTTCGTCAAAAAAGGAGACAAAATGTTATTGCAGACTGCTCTACACGCCTCTATTATGCGAGCTTTTGTTTCTTTTTTGAGTGCGGTTGCCAAATATCAAAAGTTCAAATCCCCGAATCAGAGCTTCGCTGTTACAAGCATACATTTTCTGCCCGGCGTCTGTGTTTTGTCATGAGATCTCGACTGTATTGTTTGCGATTGTGATCGCTGAATAAATGCACTTACTTAACCGCTGTTGTTTTAATAGAGAAATAGGCTATTGCCATTTGGAATTAGTGGAATTACTTGAAATTAATAACTTGTTAATTAATAATAATCTTATTGCTAAAATGTCAATTTTTCATTGACTAAAACTAGACTAAAATACTTCAGGTTTCCTTTGACTAAAATTAGACTAAAATGTTGAGACTTTTAGTCGACTAAAACTAGACTAAAACTAAATAGGATAATGTTGACTAAATATGATAAAAAACTAACAAGGACATTTAACACGGGACTAAGACTTAGACTAAAATTGAAAATAGCTGACAAAATTAACACTAGCTGGAAGAAAGGTTTTCAGGGCTAAGAAAACCGCCAACATCTCTAGGCAGTTGATATGCAGGCATTGCTCCGGGGCTGACCAGGAGCCGAACGCTGGATTGCCCTCCAACAGGGCGCCCCAACCCGAGTTGGACACGTCCGTTGTGACTACCTTCTTTCTGGAGGTCAGGCCTAATCTCGTTCCTGTTTGGAACAGGCAAGAGGTCGTCCAGGGGGCCACGGCCTTGATACAGCGGTGGTCTACCCTGACAGGAAGCCGCGCCAGGCGTGGGGTGGAATGCAGGCTTTGAGCCAAAACTGAAGGGGCCACATGTGAAGCAGGCCCAGAGGAATTACAGAGGCGGCGGCCGCCATAAGGCCGAGCAACCTCTAAAAAACCTTCAGGGGGCGTGTTGTCCCCGGTTTGAGAGACGCCGTCAATAGCTGAATAGTCAGGGATCGTTCCGGCGTAATCAATGCCCGCATTTGGGCGGAGTCTAAAATTGGCAAATCGTTGAGGTAGTTCAAAATACGGATTCCCATCTGTCTCAGAGGGGAAAGAGCCGCATCTATGCACTTCGTGAAAGTGCGCGGGGCCAGAGACAGTCCAAACGAAAGAACTATATATTGATAGGCCACTACCTCGAACGCGAATCTCAAGAACGGTCTGTGATGGGGGGCTATGTGAATGTGAAAGTATGCATCTTTCAGATCCACTGTCAAAAATCGGTCCTCTGGGCAAATGTGCGCGAGGATCTGTTTGATAGTTAACATCTTGAACGACCGGTGCATAAGCGAGTGGTTCAGATATCTGAGATCCAGAATGGGTCTGAGCCAGCCATATCTCTTTGGAACAAGGAAGTAGCGGCTGAAAATCCTGACTTGCTGTTCGCTGGGGGCACCATTTCCACAGCGTCTTTTGCAAGCAATGTCTGCACTTCTTTTCGGAGAACGAGCACTTCGTTGTCTGGAACAGAAGTTTGAATAATGCTTCTGAAGCGAGTAACCTTGCTGAATTATTTTTAAAATAAAAAATTTTAGAATTATTTTTATTTTTGCGAATGAGAGCTCGCCAAGAAAAGGCGGGGAAGTTGCATTCGCATGAGTGTGTGAGAGAGTGTGAAGAGGAAATTTGCTCTTTATTGTATGTGGGTCCGCTATCACAGCGGTAAAACATTCGGGTATGCGCTGCACCTGCAGGACGTGACCCGCTGAAACGAAACTCCATTGCTCAAAGGCTCCATCACCACCAAACTAGCCATGGTCTTGCCGATCTCCTGTGCCGTTGCTTTCGTGGCGCGCAGAGCCAGGTCTGTTGCTGTGCGCAGCTCTTTAAAAGCCTCCAGGTGTTCTTGGCCAGACTCGTCCATACTGCGGAGAAGCTTGGCTTGAAACACTTGGAGAACCGCCATTGTATGCAACTGCTTTCTCCAGAGGGGGGAGCTTGCTGTATCCCTTGTCATCAGCACCGTCAACGGTGTTGAGAGCCGCTGCTGTAGAGGGATTTACTCGGGCCGAGTAGGGGGCGCGCCACGTCTTGGTGAGCTCGTCATGAACTGCAGGCAAGAACGGGGCGGGCGTTGGCGAGAGGACTGTTGACGGCTTTCCGGCAGGTACCACTCATCTAACAGGCCGTGGACGGGCTCTTCCGGAGCCGACCACTCGAGGTCCAGATCCTCTACTACCTTCGACAGGACACGGATGATTTCAGCGTCTGGTTTCGGCCTCAGTTTGAGAAGGGGGAAGGACTTCGTGCTCTCCGCCGGAACCTCCCCACTCTTCTGCATCAGACGCTGCCAAGGACATGGAGTCATCGGTGATAACGTTCTCAATGATGACGTCCTCTTCAGATGCGCCGAAAGAGACCAAGCCAGAGGGGCACTGGTCTTCTTGTGTGAAACACAACGGCGAGACGAGAGGATGTGGGGAGGCTGGGGCACGCGGGCGCTGAGCCGACGTGACACCGCTCGAACCCGCTGCTCCGCTGTTTCTTTCTCTTAGGACACTGTCCTATTTAGAGACTGACAGCCCGTGGTCCCCATTCACTTTCATTTTATGGAAAAGAGCAGGTCGGACATTTTGCTGCATTTCAAGTCAAAAAGTTTTAAAATGACATGAAGGGTGAACTTCATCTCTTCAAGCAGAAACCGTCACAACAGAAAGGAAAATTACCGTCATGGCTAATGGCAGGCCAGGTTTGAAATACTTTGGTGTGTCTCTGATAGATAGCATGTAGGGTGACATTACTATTTTAATGCCAGATTTCTCTGCTTCCACAAGGTCGCTACCTGAGAAAAAGAAAGGAGACAGGGTTTTTACAAAAAAAAAAACTCACAATAATGATGCTAAAGAGTTTGTAGTGGTTGCCAAGGGCTTGCTATGCAGTTGCTATTGGATTGTGAGTGGTTTTAAGTTGTTTTACAATGATTTCCCCACCTGAGCTGGTCATTACTGATACTTTGACGTACACAGAAGACCCCAGTAAGCTGTTTGTGTCAAGATAGGCCTTCTTTATCTCTTCCAAAGTCAAACTAACATGTCCTCCATTCAGCTGCAAAATAAAACATGGAGTAACAAGAGTCTATAAAGCTGATTTAAGGTACTTAAACTAATGTTTTTTTCTTATTTAACCACTTACATCATTTAGTTGCTTCATAGATGTGAGTCTCTTCTTTTCACCATCAATTTCAATACCAAACAGCACATATGCAACTCCTTTCACTGGTTCACCATAAAGATACCTGGAAGAAATGCATACGGTGACCTCAAAATATTTGATATCTGGAAACATGTCTTTACTGTCACACTGGATTATTTGTATCAATCCTTTCTGAATAAAAGTATTAATTTCTTTAAAAAGAAAGAAAGAAATAAAGAAAGAAAGATGTAAAATAATAATAATAATAATAATAAATGTGAAAAACGTAAAAAAATAAATAAATAAAAATAAATTAATAATAATAATAATAATAATAATAATAAGTGTTACTTAAATGTCCAAATACTTTGAGGTCATTCAGAACAGTCTGATTCACACACCTGGCTGTTATTTCTACCTCCAACTTTTCTGCGTCTAGTCTGAGGTGGGATGTCTTTGGAGTCAAAGTGACGTTGAACGCTGGGAGGACTTGGGAGAAAGGAGAAATGCTGTTAACCGACCAACAGAGAAACATCTAGCAGAATCTGCAGGTAATATGAAGGACTTACCATATTTCTTGACTTCAAACTCTCGGCTGAAAATGTTCTCTTTTCCCTGATCAAACTTTGCAACAACTTTCCACCTGCCCTCTCTAGAAAATCAAAAAGAGACTTACTCAGCAGCCATATATCCAAAGTATCAGGTAAATCAATACCATTTTTTGTCAAATCAATTATTATTTTATAATATATAATATCTGTTCTGTGTGCATACTTGACCACAGATGAGAGGGGGTAGGTGTTAGAGAGTATCCCATCGATTGATTTGGCTCTAGAAATACCATGTACTGCAATACCGTCTGGATTCTGAAACATGTGCCAATTGTACCGTAAAGCATTGTTCCAGAAAAATAAAATATTTCGGTCACACTTTATTTTAAAGTCCAATTCTCGCTATTAACAAACTATTAACTACGTCTTTTGCCTCAATAAAATTTGCTGCTTATTAATAGTTAGTAAGGTAGTTAAGTTTAGATATTGGGTAGGATTAGAGATGTAGAGTATGGTCATGCACAATATGCTTTATAAGTACTAATAAACAGCCAATGTGTTAATAATAGGAATGCTAATAAGCAACTAGTTAATCGTGAGAATTGGTCCCAATACTAAAGTGTTCCCAATATTTCCTTGCAAATACTGTAATGGCGTTTATGTCAATGCCAGTGACAGTCACCTGAATCTCCAGAGAAATGGTCCTCTCAGCAGCACGGAATTCAGTGTCAGACACAAAAGCCCTGCAACGCACTGAAAAATGACAGTGATCAGGCAAAAACAGAACAACGTTCATTATAAATAAGCAGTATGACAAGGATGTGAGAGCTGACCATTGTCTCCAGGGTTGTAAACCGGTTTATCAGTCTGAATGAAGATGTATCCAGAGCGGAACGACACCGGTAATACTCTTTCTGCACGATGGAATGCTCTAAACTGAGCAACAATCTTCACATATTTCTTCTTTCCATCTGGTTGTAGCACATTTGGATCAATCTAAATGAAAAGACAACATTTCATTTTGTTTATGTTCAGCATTATGCAACATTTAAACAAATGTAACTTTTTACTCTGAACTAGAACAGATACATTCATAGATAAATTCACCTCGATGGTTTTGAGGGCGCTGTAGTTGTTTTCTGAATTGAGGATAACAGAGCCCGTCATTAAGGCAGTTTGGGAGACTGGATAATCATAGACCGTGATGCTGACTGTTAATTGCCGGGAGAGTTTGTGACCCTCCAGCAGGATGTTCTGTTTTGTTCCAGGTCTTATCTTTGCTGGAGCTAAAACATAAAACCTGAACCAGAACACACATATCCAATAACACATAATTACATAACATGTTTTCACTTTACATGTTTTCACTTTACATGTTAAAAACTCATTTTAAATTAATGTTTTTGTGGTGCAAGAAGTCAAAAATGTTAAGGTGGTCTAACCTAGAAAGAAAATTAAAAGAAATTATAGACAGTCTGAAATTCAATAATAATAATAATAATCTTATTCTCTGTTTTTTTCTTTTAGAACATTTCTTTATGTGTGTGTGTGTGTGTGTGTGTGTATTTTTATATTCATATAAGGAAAAAAAGCCATTGGCAGCCCGAAATTATTTATTAAATAAATAAATGTTAGTTTTAAATCTGTGCAACCAAAATGGGGGCCATTTTGCTGTCATGTGACAAGAAAATATAAAACAGGGAATACAGGACCCTCATGACTGTGTGTCAAGATTACTAATAAGTTTTTTAATAATATTTATCAAATAACTTCGCCTTTTTATTGCAATATTAGTTCAGGTTGTTAAATGGTATATATGATCTAAATAAATAAATAAATAGTAATACTCCATATTTTCATAAAATCATGTTATTTATGTGTTTTAAAAAAAAAGCCTACATTGAATGTTTGAAAACATTATATGAAATGATTAAGATACTCTCATACCTGACTGTTATACCATTTAACATTTTCTGAGTCATTAAATAAATGAACATGGATTCTTGGGGAAATTCCCGTTCTCTGTACATTGATTAGGGATGTGTTAAGTAACTTTAAGGGCATAGAACAGAGGAGTTGTGTACTTACGTCGGAGAATGGTCGATGACCGGCTCACTGTAAACACAGATAACACACTCAGTTAGAGATAAATCCAATATGAACCACTATTTTTTATTATAAACACCATTTTATATCCGACCATATTTTAAAAAAAATTCGCAAAATTCTCTCAGAAGCACAAAATACACAACACAAAAAAATATATAGGCCTACTTACACTATTCGCATATTAGGTCCCCAAACTGTCCTCTTGCTGTTCATTTGACAAGATAAAGACATAAATAAATGTCGAGAACAAAAATACAATTTATGCATTATTAAACATTATTAGCCTAATAAAATATTGACGCACTGTCTTTGAGAGGAAGTCCGGCCATCAGAGATGTGACAGAGCAATGCCATCCATAACAGCAGTGGAAGGAGCATCGTCCTGCTGAACTGAACTCTCACAATATGTCAGAGACAACAGCAGGAGAACTGAAATACCCCTAATATCCCTCCCACTATCCACAACACCGTCATCTCCAAACTTTGAGGAACTCTTGTGTAATGTTTGCTTTCTGAGCACAACTGATATCTGACAACTCAAGCAACACAGGCTTTCAGCATTAGAAACATCACTTAGGCCTATTTAAATTATTGTTAACAAAATGCTAATAAACGTAGATTTTTATATTTTCTCATGAAAATTCGAGTGGAAAAACTCACTGTCCCGGACTCCCGGTACCAAGGTGTTTCTATGCTGTTTGCAATATCCGTTGCATTCTCAGCGTTGCCGCAAGGGGCGCTATAAACCTTAGTTAGTGAAAGTGAAAGTGATGTGTGGCCAATTAAGTGCACACACACAGCAGTGAGTAGTGAACACACACCCAGAGCCCGTGCTGAAAAAAACAATAGACACCAGGGCCGGGTCTGGGGGGGGCTAGTATTACCCTAGAAAGTGCTGCCCTACCACAATTTCTGATTGCCCCCCCAGTCCAGCGAGCCTAGTACCGGGCCTGATAGACACCCTCACAAAATTTGTTTTACTGGTTATAATGGGACTTGTATTGGTTTTAATGGAAACTGTAATGGTCCCTGTGGGTCTCTAATGGTAAGTGGTCGCCTTCTATTGGTGGCTTGTAAAAACCACTAAATCCTAATTGAATATGTCCCAAAACACACTACAAAAAAAAACGTTTTTTTAATGGTTAAAAGTTGATGATTTGTATTAATGGTATTTGTAGTGGAAACCATTAGAATTTCTGTGATGGTTTCTATTGTGTTTGTTTGTTTTCAGCAGGGTGGGCAGCCATTTTGCTGTGGTGCCCGGGGATCAGTTGTGGGTCTCAAAAGCAGTCATAGTATGGACCCTTTTCACAAGACTGTGATGTCGCGTTTCTACGGTCATCAGCATCGTAAGTCCCTGAAAGTTATATTTTGATTTATATTTTAAGTTGTATAAGAAAGTTATACCTAGATTTTTTTTATTTTATGTACATTTATAACACTTTACATTGTATTATATCACATTTGCATCAAATTTAAAAAAAAAAAGTTAACGATAATGCGAGGGTGTGCAGCACTGCTCTCAAAGTTTACCGAACTATGACGACTTCCGCTGCTGAGAACCCCGGAAACGTGAAAAAGGTCTATTGAGGGTGAAAGAGAGTGCTGTATATTCACTCCTCCCACCTACAATCTCTCCTCCTTTTTATTTCCGTCAAAAATTGAAATATGGCACTACCCTAAGGTCTATTGCGGATATTAGCATAAATGTCATTTTTTTACAGTCAGTTTTCTTTTTTAGGTCAACTACTGTCACTTTGAAGGTAATCTTCCTGAGTGTGTTATTTAGAGTCAAAGGGGGCGTTTACGACAGTTTTCGACTAAAAACTTTTTATGCATTTTGGCCGTTAATTTTCACAACTCAACAACCTTTTTCAAACTTTTGAAAATGAGTTTCAAAGTGCAAGTTCTTGAAAACGATACCGTTATGGTCTCGGTGCGAACTACAAAAACAAACATTTGAGAAATAGATGACGTTATGTGCGCAGGTGCGTAGTGTTTCTTTACAAAGTGACATGACCAGCTACTGGCCTGGCATGAATAATACAGCGTTTTAGTCATTATTGCAGATCCGTGTGAACAGGGATTGTTTTGACAATGTTGTCGTCTATACGTGAATCTATACACGAAACGCAAAAAAACTTTTTGTTTTTAGTACATTATCAATGTGAATAGCTTTTTCCGATTCCGGAGTGTGCATCTGATGGACACTTTACTATCCCATGAGGCCACTCGAGAGGAAATGTGAATGGCAGTAAAGTGACACAACTGACGGCAAAAGTCACATAACATGTTCAACTTTATCGCCGCCTTTTGTCCCAGGGTTTATTAAAAAGGTCTATTGAGGGTGGAAGACAGCACTGTACATTCACTCCCCCACCTACAATGCCTTTTCCTTTTCCTCCTCATTATTATTTCCATCAAAAATTTAAATATGCCACTATCCTGAATAAAGTCTATTGCAGATATTAGCATGAATGTCATTTCGCATTACGGATGCGTTTGCAGGGAGTAAATCAAGAAGTTCAATGCTCAGCGCTTGAAAGCTGAAAAGAAAACCCTGACACACTCCTCAATATGAAGGAATTTATTTTTTTGCTAAATAATTACTTATTGTTTACCATAAGATGATATGTGTAGGAATCACAGCGATGTTATAATTTCAACTTGCGGTATAAATTAGACCTCACTGCCCGAGTCCGAGTCACTGTAATCTGCAACCAGAGACTTTCCAGCACACAAGTCAAAGCCTTTGTCCTCCTCTGATGGACTTCCTTTATGCGTTTCTGTAGTGCAGCTGTAAGTGTTTGTGTCTGCGCTTGAATTCACATTATTTGTGAGAGAAGAATGTGAGTCCATGGGGTTTGCGTCCACAGCTGCTGGGTTAGTGTCAGAGGACGAGCTGGAGGTCATAATGCCGGCAGCTTCAGTCTTGCTGCTTTCTTACTTCCTGCGTACCAGGATGTGCGAACTGGGCGTCGTAGAGCGGAGTGCTTTAGCCACGGCTGCTCCTCGACCCTGCTGGCCTAACTTTTGCAAGAGGCTCCCAGCGGCACCCCCTACTGCTGAAGACGGGCTACTGAACCAGGAACGAGACGATATCTGTTGCCTTTTCGTCTGCTGTTTGTCATCATATGCTGGAAGAGAGATTTATCCAGCTTGTCAATTATAATCAATAAGAGATGTATAAAAAAAAAAAAAGAAGTCAATAAAGTATAAAAAAAAGTAAAATTAAATTAAAAGATACAATTTAATGAAATAAAAAAAATAAAAAAAAAATAGATACATTGATTTTTACTCAAAATTAATGCAGATTAATTCATCAATAAATGAAAGTAAATAGATGGGTTAAACTCACAGTCTAGACTCTGGAAGGTGAGCAGTGATGCTAGTTTCTTATCTTCTTGTCTTTCCGGTAACAAAGGGATCGACAGACCAGTCCTCATTCGCACTGCATTGTCTTTCTCCTCCTCCTCAGCAATCACTTTCTTCTCAGTCTGTATTTGCAAACCAAAAATTGATTAAAACGTAAAAATCTTTCCTTATGGATGCAAATCCGCTACAATGGGCAACATACAACTGACCCTGAACTTCCTGCGGAGGGCGCTGTTAAGCTGAAAGTCGTCCTTCCACCCGGACTGGTGGTCTTGAAGCTCATTGAGAGACGGGATGGCGGCACGGAGCTTATCTTTATCCTTTCCTCCGTGATCTAATTTATACATGGCATCCGTCTCCAGCTTCTCTTTCTCACTGTGCTCTGTAGAAGAAAAACACATATTGAGCCTTAATTTCTTGATGACTGTCATACATTAACAGCAATTAATGTCTAATGAATTAATGTTGTTTTCTTCATATTATAAACCTTAAAATTTTTAAAGAATATTGGAAATATAAAAATTAATATTGATAAGTTTTTTGATGACGGACAGACAGACAGATAGACAGACAGACGGATAGATGGATGGACGGATAGATAGATAGACAGACAGACAGGCGACAAATAGACAGACAGATATATAGACAGGCAGATATATATATAGATAGACACAACTATATAGACGGATGGACAGACAGACAGACAGACAACATAGACAGACAGACGTATGGATACATGGACAGATAGAAAGACAGATAACAGACAGACAGACAGACAGACAGACAGATAGATAGATAGATAGATAGACAGACAGACAGATAGACAGATAGATAGACAGACAGATAGATACAGACAGACAATATATAGACAGACAGATAGACAGAAAGATAGACAGACAGATAATATATAGACAGACAGACAGACAGACAGATAGATAGATAGATAGACAGACAGACAATATATAGACAGACAGACAGATAATACATAGAGACAGACAGACTGTCTGTCTGTCTGTCTATATATTATCTGTCTGTCTATATATTGTCTGTCTGTATCTATCTATCTATCTATCTGTCTGTCTGTCTATCTGT